AAAAATAACTAGCCCTGAAATATTTATGGACCCCAAAAAAGAAAAAGACATTTCTCTTTAAAATCTAGGTTTGCTTTTAGAAGATTTTAGAGTCTTGATTTTGGAACCTTTAATAAGTATTTTGTTACAAGTTAAAGAAATGGATAGCATTAGATCTGTGTAGTCCTACCAGAATAACCTTGCTCTAATGAGTTTTTTTTAAAGTGCCTGTAGAGTGTTTTATTATATGCACCCACTATAATTTATTAACTAATTCTGTTGTGCACATTTAGGGGTTTTTTCCAGTCTTTGGTTTTTATAAACAATGTGACTGTGAACATCCTTATGCGTATATTTTTATTCACTTGTGAAAGTTTATCTGTAGGAGAGACCCCTAGATTGGCTTGATCAAAGTTTCAATGCAAATACAATTTTGATAAATATTTCCAAACTGCTTTTAAAGAAGTTGTGTAAATTTATATTTCTAGCAGCAGTATATTAGAGTGCTGTTTTTCTAAACACTCACCTATTCACTTTAATTTTTTGTCCTCACATGAAAAAATTGTATCTTGTTATTTCAATTCAATTTTCACACTCTCAGTTTAAAGTGAAACTGAGTATTTTTCCATATGTTTATGGACCACCTTTATTTCTTTTACTATGAACTTTTTTTAATAACACTTCATCAGTTTTTATGCAGAATTGAAGTCAATGGTTAACATTAATTTTGCTCAGTTTTACATGACTAACGTCTGCAACCTCCAGCAGCATTACCCCATACTTGAAAACATGTGTTTTTCATGCTTTATCCATTTCTGATGGGTTCTTTCCAACATAACCCCTCACAAAAAGTGTTACACCATTTCATAATATTAAGTTGAACCATATGAAACTTCTGATATTTGATCATTTTTGCCCTACAAAAACAATTCCCCATGGCTCAACCTAACATATTCCTTAATAGTGGAAACAGAAGGTATTCTAAAAAACTAATTTTTGTGTAACAATTGTACCTAAATAGAGATTAGAGATTTTTCTGAGTAAGATTGATGTCTAAGATGGTATCTAAGGTAACAAGTGAATACCATAGTTAAGTGGGAGAAATCGTATCTCACTTTTGTATCTTACTTGACATGACGGCTTCTTTTGTTTTTTAAAGAACGGTGATAAAACGGCATCACCCAGCGAGCTTACATGCCCTCCAGGTTGGGAATGGGAAGATGATGCATGGGTATATGATATAAATCGTGCAGTGGATGAGAAAGGTAACATTTTAGATCTATTACCTGACTAGGGGCTGTGCAGCATGGCCTGGTTAGCCAAAGTAAAGTTTACTTGGGAGGGAAGAGCCTTAACCCATTGGTCTATGACAACTAGGTCATATGGTTTTACCTACGACTGTTCAGATGCAAAATCCGAAGGACAAGCCAGTGCGTGGACAGGTATGGGGTGTGGGGACTATCAAGAGTGAAAAATACAAGGTAACAGGGTGCCGGGTGGCTGGACTTCGAGATGCCAGGGATCTGGGGTGGGAATTTTGAGAGGGAACTGAAGCGCAAACTTTCTCTATTCTAACCACACCCTATTCTAACCACACCTCCCTGGAGACCATAAAATACCTTCAAAGTTCTACTCAGCAATAATGCAGATTATTGACATAGCTTCCGTTAATGGTGTTTATCTTTTTCTATGAACAGTAATTCAATATTAAATGAACTGTATACTATTTGGAATTATCAAAAGAGAAAATGTAAAATTTTTTCTTATAAGAGGGAATAGTACACAGAAAGAACTAGCATTGATAAAGAAGATGTCAAGATTTCAGATAGATGATAAGTTCCTGGCTGATCTCAGTGCACACACCAGGCCTGTATAATAATAACAGTTAATGTTGAATGAGCATAAACTACATGCTGAGCATGTCCCCAGTGCTTTGCATGATTATTTTGATTATTATTATTATTATTATTATTATTATTATTATTTTACAAAAGGTATGTTTTAACTTTATGCTGGAGAAACTGGGCCGTAGGCAGGTTTACCAACTTGCAAGAAACTTTTTTAGTATAAAGCCAGCATATGGTGGTGCTGAGATCTGAATTGAAGCTATGTGATTGATTATACAGGCCACACACTCTTAACCAGTGTCCACGTCTGCCTCTCGTACTGTGCTTTATTCTTAGATGCACTCAGTTACCATGAATGACGGGAGGTATAAAAGTGGAGGAAAACCCCATGGCTACCAAGGAAGCTTTCCGAAGAGGGAGTCAGGGGAATAGTGCTGTGTTCTGTTTGGCTGGATTACAGCAAAGTGGAAGGAACAGTGGCATTCAGTCATGATGGGAGAGAATATTTGGGGGTGGAAAAGGTGACTGAATGTTTCCTGGAAGTTTGGGTAACCATTCACTAACTCTGTTCCAGGCTGGGAGTATGGAATTACCATTCCTCCTGATACTAAGCCCAAATCCTGGGTTGCAGCAGAGAAAATGTATCATACACATAGACGGCGAAGGCTGGTCCGAAAACGAAAGAAAGATTTAACACAAAGCACTTCAAGTACTGCACGGGTAAGAGGGGCAGAAGTTATTTTGGTAGCATGATGGAATACTTGCAATAGCGCACGACTTGGAATAAGATACATAAGGATTCTAATTCTGGCTCCATTTTCTTTCTCATCTGCAAACTAGGTATAATATCATACTTCGAATTAAGGTATGGTAAGGCTTAAATGAAATAATAATAAATTAAATGGAATAATAATACTAGTAACAATCAATGGCGTATTTTGTGTACCTTCTATAATGCTAGATACTGAATATGCATTATCTACAATGCAGAAGGTCTGCATTTTATCCCCATTTCACAGATAATGTTCACAGAGATTAAATAGACTAGCTCTAGGTCGCATGCTGAGTAAATGACAGAGCTGGTGCCTGAACTCAGGCTAGTCTAACTCCAAACAGGAACTCTGCCTGTCCCACAAAGTTCCTGACTCATTCGGTACAATGAATGAAGTTACTTTTTATTAAATGGTGAGCTTCTGGGGCACAAAGATGGAACCATAGTCATCTTTGTATCCTCCTTGCCAGCTCAGGAGCTTATTCTTAATGAATAACAGAGTAGAATGAATGAGCTGATCAATGAATATTTGTTATTTAATTATCCTTATCCTGATGGGGTGAGAAGTTTCTAGAATCATTTGACTCTGGACTTCCACATAAGAACACTAAGGTAAAGCGGAAAGAACACTGAGCCCCACCAGTCAGAAGACCAGAAACTTGGCCTAGTGCGACCAAAAAGTATTGTTGAGACTTTGATCATGTTCCCTAACCTGCCTCACTCCTGGCTACATGAACTATTTCAATGCCACTATTAACATTAGTAGAGTGCCAATTACAAGATTATGCTTGACCTGGATTTCATGTTTATTCGAAGTTGAAAAATAGCCCCTACAATGATAATAGCCTTCGTGGAGCTCTTATTTCTGCAATTATAAATATTATTCAATATTATTTTACATTTACTAAATCTAGTCATAGTTTTAAGATATTTATATAAAATTTCCACCACTAACATGTCACTACATGAAGGCAAGGACCCTGTCTGTTTTTTTTTTCACTGCTTCCTCAGCTCTTAACACAATCCCTGTCACATAGTACGCCCATCATATTTATTGAGTGAATTGAATAGAACATTGAAAATTGAAATCGTTTATATATAAATAGCTTTAAGATAAAAAGCGCTATACTCAGTATTAGTTATTATAGAAGTAATGTACCCTGATCTATCATGTAATTATTAATTATGGCAGCTATTAGCTTAGACAAGACATTTAAACCCTGGGGAGGGTGGTGTTATTTTTTTCCTCCCTATATAAAATGGGGATAATAATGGTTTCCAAACTATTTAATAATAGCAATGTTTTCTTATGAGCTAATGAAGTGAGAAAATAGAAAGTAACTTGAGAAAGTATCAATTTGCTTTACCTACCCAACCTCCCCCCAAAGTCTGAATAAGGTTCCCCTCCTTATAATATAGCTCCCACCTTGGCAACATCACATTCTTTCTTAATTGCCTGGTTAACTCTGTATTCCCATAGTCTATCAGCTCTACAAGGGCAGACAGCCTCTCTACTTTGCTCTTTGTTGTATCCCTGGCTCCTGGCACAGTCGTTGTCACAGAGATGATTTTCAATACGTTCGTTGATTGACCAAATAATCTACTTTTATTTTAGGCCATGGAAGAATATGAAGACCGGGAGGGCTGGGAATATGCTTCTTTAATTGGCTGGAAATTTCACTGGAAACAGCGTAGTTCAGATACCTTTCGCCGCAGACGCTGGAGGAGAAAAATGGCTCCTTCAGAAACTCATGGTGCAGCTGCCATCTTTAAACTTGAAGGTGCCCTTGTAAGTAAGAAGTAGCCAAAGCTCAAATATATTGATGTACTCGTAGATAAAAGATATGAGTGTTAGATACAACACCACCAACTCCATAGTGGTCCCTCCACTACTGCAAGACTGCAAATAATTTGGGAAGAAAGCTACACATCCTATGTGCTCAGTCATTTTTATAGAATGAATACACCATTAACATATGAAAGTTCTAAGAAGTCCTACTGCAGACACACCTATTTAACATGGTTTCACCTAGCATTTTCCAAATACTGGGGGTGCCAAAAAAAATTTACACAAGTGTATACTTTGGTCAACATTGCTCAAACAGTAGTTCGCCATAATCAGAAGTGTCTGGACGCTGATGGTAACAACTTTGAGTACCTCTTGTAATCACAGAAGTCAAACGTGACTTGTGTTCATCATTTGTTATTGGTATACATTGAACATTACAATTTTAATATAGTTTCCTTTCTTAAAATGTGTATACATATTTTTGGCACCCTCTGTGTACATGTTCCCAAACCGTTGTTGCAGGTGACATCTATTAACATCCCAAGCACTGGTTCCTTGGATCACAGCTTATAAACTGTTCAACAAACCAAGAAAGTTAAATATACAAATGTGAGGGTGAGGAAAACAGAAGAATGGCTCACAGAATTAGAGAACAATTTGTATAGAAGCACAATAAAGAAGGAAGGGAGGAAAAAAGCAGAAAGGTGGGATAAATGAATAAGAAAATGATGATGACTGATCTAAAACAATGTGGTGGTCAGGAACCATTTCCAAACACAGCCTGTTTTTACATTTCGGCATGCTGACCATGCTGTGTTTTTCTCCTGCTGCTCTTTCTCTTCCTCCTCCCACACTTTTAATACCCTTATTTATACTTTTTGTTTTCTTTGTCTTTCCGTGGCAGGGTTTGGTAAACTTGGACTTGAGGTAGAAGGTCTGGCTTCAACTTCCTACTCTATCTCTTTCCAGCTAAGTGACCTTGGGAAGTCACATACTGTCCTGAGCTATATTCATTTCTAAAAATGAAGTGATTGGATGAGAAAAATCTCTTTTAACAGCCATCATTCCATTTGTTTGTAATTCTTGCCTCTTTATTTATTTATTTAAAGATTTTTATTGGGGAATTGGGGGAAGGGGAACAGACAAGTTGCTGTCCTTTTGTTCTTCAGTCTAGTTGTGGAGGACATTGCTTCACTGGCCCAAGTTGGCATCATCATTGTGCTTTTCCCGGGCGAGGCACATCAGTCGCCGGCTTCTGGACGGCCGCTCACTGCCCGCCGCTCACGCTGGCTGCTGGCTACACACGGTAGCCCATGGCAACCCACTGCCACAGGGGCTGCAGCCTACGCCGTCGCTGGCGACTCACGGCAGCCCAGCTCCAGGTTGAGCTGTTGTTCAGCATCTTAGCTGTAAAGGGCAGTGTCACTGGCCCTCATATGTGGGATCCGAACCGGGGCCCTCTGGCGTCCCAAGCCAGCTCTTAACCATCGCGCCACTCGGCTGGCCCCCTTGCCTCTTTATTTTTAAACATTGTTATTGATTTTCCTGCCTCCTTAGGGTGCAGACACTACTGAGGATGGAGATGAAAAAAGCATGGAAAAGCAGAAGCACAGTGCCACCACTGTGTTTGGAGCAAACACTCCCATTGTTTCCTGTAATTTTGACAGTAAGTCTTAAACATGTATTTGTACATTCTGATATTATGATTTTGTGCTCAAAAAACTTTTTAAACCACCAAACAGAATAAAATATACTTTCACTTTCATCACTTAATGAAGAGGATTATTTAAAATACAGCTTGAAAAATTATATTTGGGGTAGAAGATGATAAAATCATTAATTTTAGCATACTTTGTCCAATATATACTCATTCTACCTGTTAAGCTCCTCAAAAAAGATGATTTTAATTAGAAAAAAGATTCAAAAAGTTAAGTAAAAATGGATTTTATCAATGATAACCTTCAGGAATTGTGGAATGAGGCATACCTACTATGTAATAATCATAGCAAATAGTTATACAGGTCTTAGCATGTGCCAGGCACTGTACGAGTACACATAATATTGTAGTAAGTCATTTAATTCTGATAATAACCCTAGAAGGTAGATGCTATTTTTGTCCCCATTTTACAGGTGAGGAAGCCAAGGTGCAGCAAGATAAATAATTTGACTAAGGTCTTACAGCTTGTAAGCATTAAAGATAAAGTTTGAACTCGTGTAGCCTGGCTCCCAGAATCTGTGCAGTGAATCACAGTGCTCTACTATCTCTCAAATTATGTGTGTGGGGGGCCGGAGTGGGGAGTGGGTGGTGGGAGGCATGTTGAGTGAGGTGGTGACGTACGTATATGCATTAATATAATAATAAGGATAAAGAGTATAAAGATTTTGAAATATCAAAGAAACATTTAGTAAATAACTGTTTCCTAGGTCTGGTGCTGAAATAGTATAGAAAGCCCTACTTCTATAACTCTTGGAGACTAATTTCATTTTAAAGGCCAATGATGACAAGCAGTAGTACCCTAAATCCAGGTAGTTGACATCAGGCCTAATGGTCTCCTGATTGACACACATGCACTGAGTTTACTTACTGTAGTATTTTTTAAATAAGTTTCATTTTACAGGAAACAGAACTACTTTGGGATGACTCATCATCACCATTATATGTTTTCTTTACTGTGGAGAAGTAGATTGGAATGAGCCATTTATCTGAAACATGTATTATCTCCAAATATTCCAGAAAAATTGCAGTTTACAGTGTTAATGTTTCTTGTAAGTAACCCCCGTCCTGTTCCTTTTAGGAGTCTACGTTTACCATCTGCGCTGCTATATCTACCAAGCCAGAAACCTCATGGCTTTAGACAAGGATAGCTTTTCAGGTAATGGGAAAAAAATTCTCTGTCTCACACGTTATTATGTAGGAGGCTAGCTTGATTCTATTTTTCATCAACTGGATGCTTTCAGTTATTTCTGACAACAACAAAAAGTATTTCCATGTTGAGATTAGTTTGATATGCGTGAAGTGAATTGCTCAGTCCTTAGGTCGGTAAGCACTGATTACAGTGTCGGGCACCGTTGCTGGGTGCTGGAGATTCATAGAACATACGTGGCCTTTTAATATTAGTAATCATTAATTGATTAAGTAATAACAACACCAAGAAGAAAAGCAGTTTCTGCTCTCTGTTTATACACATAGCTGTGTACATATACTTTGGACTCTTGGGTTATTGGTAAGTTAAGATCCTTTATGTATACATTTGCAGTTCTCTCAAGCTGAGAAAAAGATCACAAATTCACCTAGTTACTTACAGCACAGGCTTGAAGCGGTTTGGAGTCCCATCTTGACCTCCTCTGTGGCCTGCTCCCCAAATTCCCAGTACTGTAAAACCACAAGGCTTCATCATCCGTCACACTGATACCCCAGATAGTTTTGTCGCCTTTGGACTGGTTTTAAGGTTGGCGGGGGCAGGGACATGCAGCCTGGGATTTGTGCTGTTGCTAGTGGGACCATGAATATTTGGGGAGCATTCCACTTTAGAACCTGAAGGCAGGCAGGGTTTCCCTGCGTCTTCTATGGAAACAGCTATTAAAGCAGTTGCCTGACATTCTGGGTTGCCCACATCAATTGTAAGGTGTCTCCCAAGTGTATGTGAATGATTTCCTTTTCTTACCAATTAGAGCAGAGTTCAAGTTATCCTCATAACACACATCTCCAAAATGGTTTTTGAAGACATTTTCAAATATTCACCACCAGGGGGCACTCAATCATTGAAAGTCAAAGTTAGAATCTTATCAAAATTTCTGACTAAAATTGCATAAAACTCAAAGCACATTCCTTGCAGTTTGAGATGTAAGAAGTGTCATTGGAGCAAAAGCAAAGAGTCCTCCTATTCATATGAGGCTTCAGTGCTAAAAACCAAGCACCTTTTGGCTTATGTAAAAGAGCTTTAGGTTAGATGTTAGGTTCTTTCTCTGATAGGTCAACTCCAGACAATTGCTTAAAAAGCTTTGGTGAAATTATTTAGCATGGAGAATAAATGGATTACTCTTTTTTAATTTTTTTTTTCAGTTTCATTAAGATATAATTGAAAAAGTTATATTTAAAGAACACAATGTGATGATTTCATATATGTGTATACATTGTAAAAGTATTCCCACAATTGAGTTAACAAATCCATCACCTCACATATTTATCTGTGTGTGTGTATGTGTGTATGTGTGTGGTGTGTGGACACTTAAGTTCTTCTCTTTTAGCAAATTTCAGTTATAAAATACAGTGCTATCAACTGTAGTCACCATGTTATACATCAGATCTTCAGACTTTATTTATCTTTTAACTGAAATTTGTATCCTTTTACTAACCTCTCCCATTTCTCCCTGGCAACCACTATCCTACTCTCTGTTTCCATAATTTTGACTTTTGGGGAGATCCCACATATAAGTGATACCATGTACTATTTGTCTTTCTCTGACTGGCTTACTTCACTTAGCATAATGTCCTCCAGGTTCATCCATGTTGTCAAAAATGGCAAGATTTACTTCTTTTTTAAGGCTGAATTATATGTGTGTATGTGTGTGTGTGTGTGTGTGTGTGTGTGTGTGTATCCCACATTTTCCTTATCCATTCATCTATAGGTTGCCTTTTCATTTTCTTGATGGTTTCCTTTGTTGTGAAGAAACTTTTCGGTTTAATATAGTCCCACTTGTTTATGTTTGCTTTTGTTGCCTGTGCTTTTGGTGTCAAATTTAAAAAAATCATTGCCAAGCCAATGTCAAGGAGCTTACCCCCTATGTTTTCTTCTAGGAGTTTTATGGTTTCCAACTTTGGCCATGGCCCCACTTTTATTCTGTCTTTCTCTTTTAGATCCATATGCTCATGTCTCGTTCCTCCATCGAAGTAAAACCACTGAGATCATCCACTCCACTCTGAATCCCACGTGGGACCAAACAATTATATTTGAGGAAATTGAAATCTATGGGGAACCCCAGACAGTCCTACAGAACCCACCCAAAGTTATCATCGAACTTTTTGACCATGACCAAGTGGTAGATAATTTAGAATTTCTAAGATGGCTTGGAGGATGAGGGAGGTTCATTGGGATGTTGTGGGGGAATTAAAGGATTGTTTGTTTCTCTAGGGCAAAGATGAATTTTTAGGACGAAGCATGTGCTCTCCTCTGGTGAAACTAAACTCAGAAATGGACATCACGCCCAAACTTCTCTGGTACCCCGTAATGAATGGAGATAAAACCTGTGGAGACGTCCTTGTAGCTGCAGAACTGATTATGAGGCACAAGGTTCTTGCTGAGTTCTCACTCATATATTCTTTCAGAGTAGCTGCTTAAAACACATGTTAATATCTCCAGGCACTGTTTACTACTGTGTTTCCCCAAAAATAAGACCGGGTCTTATATTAAATTTTGCTCCAACAATCTACATTTATTCATTTATTCATGTAAAAAAATCTACATGTATTCAAACAGTCATGTCTGGCTGACAATCTTAACTGGGGCTTATATTTGGGGTAGGGCTTATAGTACGAGCATCCTGAAAAATCATGCTAGGCCTTATTTTCTGGTTAGGTCTTATTTTCGAGGAAACATGGTAGAACTAAAGGGAGGTATTGACATTTCTATTTTTTTTTTCCACAGGATGGCTCCAACCTTCCCATTCTTCCCTCACAGAGGGCACCAAATCTATACATGGTGCCCCAGGGGATCAGGCCTGTGGTTCAGCTCACTGCTATTGAGGTATGCTGCTCTCTCTATTGTTTGTTTGTTGGTTTGTTTTAATCAAATCCAGTGGGTGTGGCTATGGAACCGGAATCTTTCATATAGGAAACGGGATCTTACTCTCTCCAACTGACTATAGAATTTGTACAAAATTTTGAAATATTCATGGAAATAGAAGGCCTGTCAAAGCAACATAAACAGGTCAATTCTAGCATCACTGAAGGAATGTAGCGTTCTCGTTTATCGGGAGCCAGTAGATTCCTGAGTTTCCCTGGGTCAACTGGAGAATTGGGAGAAGGAAGTCAGACGCAGAAGAGCATGTGCATAGAACAGAGGCCCCACGAAGGAGGCAGGGGTGGAGAGCAGGAGGGGAGGAATGGGAAATGGTGACACGTCAGCCAATCGGAGCAGAGACAGGCCGATGGAGCCAGCCGGGTAGCCTGATGGACAGTGTCTGGCCTGCTATCGACGACTTCCCTTTGTACATCAAGCACTGTTGGGATTTCTGTCCTCAGCCTGTCTCGCTGAAAATTCTCAGAGACTGAGGCAGATGGCTTTAAACAACAGCTATCATTTTTGAAGGCTTGCGTGTCAGACACTGTTAAGAAGTTTACACTTGATCCTCAAAATAACCCTATGAGAGATATTACTATCACCCCTGTTTGTAGATGAGACAGAGGGTGATTAATTAAGTTGCCAGAGTTCACCTGGCTATGATATAGCACAGCCAGGATACTGCTCTGCTATTTCAGCGGTTCAGATACGGGAAGAAAAGGGGCAACACCACTTGCCTCAACCTACAGGCTCCCTAGGATAATATTCTCAGAGATTTTAAGCGTATCTACACAAGTCACTCTTAAAGAATTTACTGCCTATTAAGACAGAATTTTTCCTTTTGAATATTATTTTTAATATGCTGGGTTTCCTTCCCTTCTCTTTACATTGTTAGATTCTAGCTTGGGGCTTAAGAAATATGAAGAACTATCAGATGGCTTCCATCGCATCCCCCAGTCTCATTGTGGAGTGTGGAGGGGAAAGGGTGGAATCAGTGGTGATTAAAAACCTTAAGAAGACACCCAACTTTCCAGGTTCTGTCCTCTTCATGAAAGTGGTACAGTATCAAGATTCTGTAATAGTCCATGTGTGTTGAGTAGTTGAATTTTATTTGCAATATGAACATATACACATCACACACGTGCACAGTTTATATATTTCCAAAATCTGATAACAAATTAGAAAAGCTGCTTTGTACTCAGTCAGCTTGTCAGTGACTTTTCCCCCTTAGATTCTTACATTGTAGTGATGGTTTCTTAAAGCTTCAAAGAACCCCAGTGACAGAAATATCTATGAGCAATACCAGTGTATTTCTCCAGTAAACATTCCATCTCTCCAGCTATCTACTATAGGTTCTTGGTCAATCCCTCAGGGCAGAATATTAACCCTCCCTCATGCCTCTACAGGTGTACATGGACCAAAACCCTTCAGATAGGGACTTGCAGGCTGGGGACGGGACAGTTATGGGAGAACCCATATGCGGTGATGGGGCCATTCCCTAACAACTCACGACTGTGCCCCATCTCCAGGTGCCCCTGGGATGACATCCACTTTGTTATATCAGAGTTATCTTCTGGTTATTAGAAATGTGACAGTATCAGATCCAGAGCACGGTCCCCTGTCATAGACCCCATCATACTTTGGAACAAGAAGAGGTCACCCAGTCTCTCCATAATTCTTAACTTTTTTTTTGGCTGAGCCATCCTGCAATTGTTGGCAGCTGTTGGCATCTCAGCTCGGGCTGGGAATTGAACCGGCGAGACCCTGTTGCTCAGGGCTCACACTCTTGAGCGAGCTCTTAACCAACTGAGCCACTCGGCCAGCCCCAATCCTTAACTTTTTGGTTTTTTTTTTTTTAAAGATTTTATTGAGGAATTGGGGAAGGGGAACAGCGCTGGGGAATCGGGGGGGGGGGGACAGACAAGTTGCTGTCGTTTTGTTCTTTAGTCTAGTTGTGGAGGACATCACTTCACTGGCCCATGTTGGTATTATCATTGCACTCTTTCCGGGTGAGGCAGATCGGTCGCCGGCCTCTGGACGGCTGCTCACGGTGGCTCTTGGCAGTTCACACCAGCTGCCAGCTGCTCACGCTGGCTGCCAGCCACTCACGGTAGCTTATGGCAACCCACTGCAGCAGGGGCTGCAGCCTACACTGTCACCAGCAGCCCAGCTCCAGGTCGAGCTGTTGTTCACCATCTTAGCTGTAGAGGGCAGTGTCACGCTCCCATGTGGGATCTGAACCGGGGCCCTGCTGATCAGAGCTGGCGTTCCAAGCCTGCTCTTAACCAACGCACCACTCGGCCGGCCCAATCTTTAACTTTTTAAAACAGAAAAATCTCCCTTTTTCACTCTACTATAAAAAAGAGATAAAAATAAAGGCACTTCTTCAGTTTGATGGGGTAGAAGGTCCAGAACCTTCTAGTTCCTTTCCCCACCCAAGTCATTTGGTGTCTCTAACACACCTGCTCTTGAACTCTAGGGTCCTGTGGTTTAGCTTCTACTTTAACAGACGAGAAAACTGAGGCCTAGAAAGGGGAAATGCCTTATCCCAGTCACATAGTGAGTGTCAGACCACAGCTTCTGTGAGCAGTCACTATGTCAAGACTACAACAGCAGCCACAGCCCGGTGCTAGCTGCATTCATACTCCCTGCATTTAACCTTTACTCTAACCCTGCAGAACAGGCATTTTTCACTCCTCTTACACCCTCTTTGGAAGAAACCGAGAGGTTCAGTGATTTATACAAGAGGATACAGCTAGCTAGCAAGCAGGTGGCTAGAGTTCAGGCTTAAGTCTCTCCAACTCCAAAGCCCATGCTCTTCCTTTACAGCGGTGCAGTTGGAGCACCACCTGGAGGCTCCAAGCCAGAATCCCGAAGTGGTCGCCCCCAGGCCACTCCACCCATCCTTGTCCACTCCCTAGCCCCTGCCCCACCCCTCTAGTTCTAGGCTGGAATCTAGCTTCAGCCAGCATTGGCTAGGAAAGCCCCTCAGTTGACCCCAGCTTCCATTCCTGTGCAAGGCCAGAGGTGGAAATTTACCTGAACCACTCACCAGGCAGGCCCATTGTTCCCCAACCAGACAGTGTCCCCTATGTCTCCAAATTCCATGTGGAGGAACCAAGAGGCCTCAAAGAAAAATGAGCATCCCATTTTTGGCACCGCACTTCCAGGGCTAAAAGACTCCCAAGCCACAGTTATTTCCCCTGAAGGTTCAGTTTGAGCTCAATCATTTCTAAGTTCTAGCTCTGCATCCTGTTACAGAGCAGAGCCAGGTATGAACGTCCTATCCTAAACATGTCACATGTATTAATGCAACAACCCGACTATTATTGAGGAGGTAACTGGGACATAGGAAAGTTCCCTAAGGTCACACAGCTTAGTGGCGGAGCCAGGGTTTGATTCCAGGCAGTCTGCCTCAGAGCTCATGCCTTCAAGCATTGTGCTGCTTGCCTAGCGTGTAAGTTACTGAACTTAACTACTCAGCGTGAGTCCCCTGGGCTATACCAAATAAGCAAAAGGAGTCTGGGCTGGTCCTTTCGTGAGTGTTTATTGGCAAAGCTGCCCTTGTCAGGACTTGTACAGAGAAGTGACACTTACCTCTGTGACCCCCAGTTCTTGCCCAAGGAGGAACTGTACATGCCTCCGCTGGTGATCAAGGTCATCGACCACAGGCAGTTTGGGCGGAAGCCCGTCATTGGCCAGTGTACCATCTACCACCTGGACCGTTTTCGCTGCGACCCTTATGCAGGAAAGGAGGATATTGTACCACAGCTCAAAGGTAAAATGCAAGTATATAACTAATACTTTGGGACTGCATGACCTGACTTAATCTTCTCAAAGTAAATATTCGATGTCCAGATTTTGCAGATGAGGAAATTGTTTGATTTACAGTCAGCTATGTGACTTTCCCAAGGTAATATTGTTAGTAAGTGGCAGAGCTAGAGTTGAATACTGGCCTAAGAGACTTATTTTCTCTTCGCCTCAGTTTGTGTTTTTAATCTTTTAATGGGGATAATGGCGCCTATTCTACAGGATTATTGAGGAATTAAAATGAGATCATGTATGCAAAGGGCTTAGCCCACTGCCTGGCACCTGGCAAGTGCCGAGAAAATGTGTCTTCCCTCCCTTCCTTTAGGTCCTATCCTCAAGCTATTACCTTCTGAGGTATCCTGCACCTGGGTGAATATAAGACTTCTTTTTCAGAAATGTTAATTGCTTCGTGAACTTTTCATATCGTCCAGCAGGGAAGAAAAACAAGGAAATGGGTGATTGCAATCTGGTGTGATCACTATTTTGATGGGGACATAGAGGGCGCTCCCCTGCCCCCTGCCCCTCACCCTGTGAGCACGAAGAAGGGGGGATATTTATTTTAAATTGCTTTCAATTTGTTGTCCCACCTCATTAATGTATCACAACATTGCTGTGATACAATTCGAAAGCTATTATTTCACTGTCATCCACTGAAAAAAAAATAACACCTGCTAAGTTTAAATGACTTGCCTTAGAGCACATAATTAATAAGTAAATGATAGAGGGGGGCGAAATACTTACGTTAGAGCTCCATAATAAATAATAGTTATTGAATAGTGTTTTGCTATTGTCCCTTCAGTAATGACTTATTTTTAGCTTACCATGAGCCAGAGACTGTGTTAGGGGCTGGAGACTGGGATGCATCAGTGAATAACATCCCAGGACCCCTGGCCCCATGGGGAACTAGCACTCATTCAGCTGATCAGTGGTCTTCTGAAGCAGATGTCTTCTGTTTAAGCAGCTGTGCCACTAACCAATTCTATGTAATCTTCCATAAGGTTTGGTATTAATATTACAGAGCCTCTGAAATTCATCTGGTATGTGGGTCTGAGCATCCTGTGTCCCTGATTCAAAGGGGAAAAAATAAAATCCACAGACATATTTGAGCAAAACCCTACATGTGTTTGTCCATAAATTTCCCAGGCAAAGCATTCTGTGCTGAATTGATGGTGCCTAAAATAGCAAAATTTTTATAACAACAAGGATTAATGTCACTGCAGGCATTGTTTCACTCGGGGTTACTAAATGGAGAGAAGCACCATTTTCATAGCTTTTTCCCCCACTGCTTTCGTGAGAGAAAGTTCTCTGATATGAACACGTGACATCATTAGGAAGGCACAAATGCTGTACACTTGCTCTGGTCCCAGAATCGCTTGTGTGGACCTGTTTGTGTCTATTGCTCAGGGGTAGGTTGGGCCCAAGGCAGAGGTCTCCCCGTTAGTGGTTCTGTGTCATTAATGTGAAGTGCGGTGAAGGTTTTAGAGAGACCCTGAAGAGAAAAATCCTTCAGGACTATGGGGAACATAATGTTCCCAAGACCAGAATCTATTATTTTAGATCAGTCTGGTCCTTTAAAACCAATGCCAGGGTAGAGTCGAGGAAATACTTGGTTGGCTTAACGTTGGAAGCACAGAGAATAACTTCCCTGCCCTCCCTCTCTACCCCATCCCTGAGGCTTTGTTTACGTGAGGATGGTAAAGTGGAGAACTGATAATATAAGAAGGGATTTGCATAAGTTGTGTTCCTGCTTTTCTGCCCATCTGGCTGTCACATACTGCACTGTTGCAGTTGTCAGGAATTGTGGGGAACTATCTTGGAAGTGTGGAGGCTACTGATAGATCAGGGGTGGGGGGTAGGGGGACCACATGGATATGCAGTAACCTAGCATAGCAACTGGCATATCATAGATGCTCAATAAATGTCAATCTCCCTACCACCACAGTGTCCCCCTGATCAATTTCTCTGACATTTATTGAATGTTTACTCTGCTCAGAGCTTTGGTATGATGGTTAAAACACAAGCTTTGGGGTCAGACAGACCTAGATTATTTATTTCCACTTACAACTAATGGTTTAACCTGAAGCAAGTGACTTGCTTTCTCTTAGCCTCAGTTTGTTTTTTAATCTTTATAATGAGTATAATGGTGCCTCTTCTACAGGATTATTGAGGAATTAGATGAGATCATGTATGTAAAGGGCTTAGCCTACTGCCTGGCACATGGTAGATGCCTAGGAAAATGTATCGTTCTTCCCCTCCTTTATGTCCTATATGTCAGTTGCCTGGGTGGGTTAAACAGAAAGTTCTTTTGGTTTGGCAGAGTTTGCTCTGTCTGGGTTCTGGCCTCCTGTTGAATGTCTGACTGCCTGGTGCGACTTCCATAAAGGGTAGACGTACCTCTCACCCTCACCCCGCCTTAGGTTGAGGCTTTGGCACCCCTTTTAGCTGAACCAAACCTAGTGAGCCCAGGGCTGCTCCTGAGCACTTCCTCTAACCCCAAAATCCAGAGCCACAAATATTCTGGAAATTACATAAACTCAGGGAGTGTGAGCCACTGCAACTTCAGATCCAAATATGCAACTATTCACCCTCCTTTGCTTTTCTGTCTTAGAACAGATTCCATGAAAAAGAAGCTCCTTTAGATGTAGCTTCCCCCACCTCCAACTCCTGCATCCTCTAAAGACATGTATTGACACAACTCTTTCTTGAGCACTTCCTATATATAGGCACTGGGCTAATTGCCCAAGACAACAAAAATAAAAGTGGGGTGCCAGATAGTCCCCTAAAAATACCTAAAACTATATCATATTTTGGAAAAGTGATGAATTGCTGGGTTATTTTCGACTGTGATCCTCTCCACTCAGTAGTCTCATCCAAGAGTAAGGTCTACCATCCACTCTGTGGCTGTTGAACTTGAACCTGGAGTAGAATATTCACCACTGTATTTTTATAAGTATATAAGATTATGAAATTCTTTGTCTTGCAGCCTCCTTTCTTTCTACCCCACCCAGCCGGGATGTCATTATTGAAGTAGAAGACACAAAACCATTACTGGCTTCAAAGGTAAGCTTCCGAACCAATTATTGGATAACGTCAATTTTATCTTCCAGGTGTCTAAGAATTGGGTGAATTCAGTCAAACAACCATTCAATGCAATCAAAATAATAATAATAAACCAACTTACTGAGGTGATGAATCTGAATCTTGCGCTCATCAAAAATTATGATGACACTGTGTGGGCTAATGTTCTCTACCCTCAGTCACCCGCAATACTTAAGATAATACCTAGGCCCATGCTCCACCTTCCAAGAGGGACCTAAACATCAGTATATTTTCAAATCTCCCCAAGTAATTCTAAGGTACAGGAAGGTCTGAGAACCATTGGTGTGGACAGTCTGAATAATATTGTTTACTAGAAAAGGAAATTTCAGGAGCAAATTCATAACCCTACAACATTCAGAAGAAGGAGGCATGTAGGACACCAGGTTTTATCCTTACATGAAGCAGAAGTGTCATGGATTTTTAATGACCCTATTTGTCAGTGTATGGGATATCCCCAAGTTTCATGTTCACTGTGGTTTAGAAGTCAAGAAATTGGTGGAAATGCTCACTCAGGACCCTATTTTCAAACCATTCCAGCCAATTCTACAAGAAGGAAAGAGGGTGGGTGGGAAAGTCTCAGCCCAGAAAAAGAAAACTTCAAATATCTCCCTGTTTCTGTTGGCATTTATAATGGACTTTCGCAGCATGTTTCAATGTGCAAACTGGCCAAAAAATGCACATGATTGCACCTTAATGTGTTATGTCCATAAACAGTGCCTTAAAAAATATACCCACTTCCTTCCCATTGCATTAAACTCACCAACAATTGGACCATGTTAAATACGGTGTCCACAGCCAGCACTGTTTAACAGTGTGTTTGATTCTATTCCCAAAAATCCACAGTCACAAATGACAATATCAAATTTGCAAAACTACTATGTTTACTTTGTAAATACCCCAAATATTCCCAATAAACCAGAAGTAGCCTAGGGTAAACGCAAGTATAATATCCTTATGTACATTTTTACAACACTCTGGAAAAAGGCAGTTTAAGATCCTACTCTATAATCTGCCTCCAGCTTTCTTACCTCCCACTGTCAATCAGTTCTTATTTTGCATGCTAGGTACTTAGTAGCCCTAGATATGGGAGACCAAGAAGAAGAATAAAGCCAATCCATGCTGCTATTTTTCATTCATTTCTTAGCAGTTGTTCACAGATGACTAGGTTACTGAAGCAACACATTGTGAAAGTTCACTTTATACCATGAAATTTAAGAGGCAGCCTAGCAGGATTGGGGATGGTAGTAGCAGTCATCAGTGGGTAGTTTCCACTGTATGATAAATGACTTTGATCAGCTTGCTTTTCTAACACCCAGTTGAAATATACCTTGTTGATTAAGAAAGACTGATTGGGATCTCCTCTAAAAAACTGATTCTACCAGTTCCTCAGGGAAGACAGTCTGTATCTGTGCAAAGTCAAATGAGCAAAGCTGAGCTTTGGAAGAGCCAATAACAAGCTTGCTGATGTCCTATATGACATGTACATGTAGTCTTATACATGCATACATGGATGTACATGTATGCATGTGATATGTGTGAGTTACATGTACATGCGATATGTGTGTAATGTACATATATTATAATACCACTAACTCAATTCAAGCCTTTGATTATGGGTAAATTGAGGGAATGGATCAAAACTAACTGTGCCATTGATGGGAGCTGGAGGCTGTGGCTTTGGGTGACAGTCTCACGTTCACAGAAACCCACACCCTATGATGACTGTGGGAGCTTTTAACACATGGGCTCAGCACCACCACAAGAAAAGTGAGAAATAAGTATTTGGGGTAAATTGGTAAGTGCTAGCCAGAAAACATGGACATTCCTACATGGCCATTTCAACAATTGCCTTCCAATTCCAGTGCTTAAGCAGTATGTCAACAGCTCTCGGCAAAATGGTTTCTCCAACGACAGTGCATGTATGTATGATAAGAAAATGCATGAGGCTGCCTGGGACTGCGGGGACCTTGGTCTAAAGGCTTGAATTCTCCACTCAGATTCTTTCTATTAGCAGATTTTGGAGTGAAAGATGATCTTTAAATAAATGTGTTCATTTCAATCCGAAAAGGGAGACTATTCTGCACCATTTGGATATGATAAAGCAAGTTATTTCCATGGCTCCAGTTACTTTTCATATGAACTAAGGGGCAAGCGGGAGTAAATAAATTCTCCCACGTTAATCCTGAAATTTTAAATCAGCGGCTTGTTTGGAATAATGCCTTTTAAGTCACGAATTATTCTTTTATTTGAAATGATTTCAGGTCTCTCCGAATAGATGTGAATAAACAGACTCTTAAAAACCTGAATTCAGGAACCATTCACAATGTGAAAGCACTTTTAGCATAAAATTTCTTCTCTCCAAAATCTTAATTCGGCTACAACAATCTAATCTTTAACTCCATTTTGGTATGAATCTAATAGAAAGAAATGTTACATCGATCTTTCTCTCCGTCTCTCTTGGCAATTCTGTGTGCTGAACAAAAGTCAATCTAGAAAATACCAAGGGGCATGTGCAGAAGAAACCCCGTGGCTGCCCCACACTGCAGCTGCAGGGAGCACCTGCTGTGGGGGCTTGTTCTGTCCTCACATTAGAAATGAACTTGAAGTTAGGATTTCAGAGAGGGAGTCTGGATAGCAATCATTCAAACTGCCCCCAAGGGCAAGCTCTGCAAACATTCCAGCAGGTACCAAGAGAAAACTCAAGCCCAACATCCTAGCTCCCTGTTCTCTCATCTCCTGAGATCAGGGATGGATTCGCCATGCAGAAACTCAAATGGAAGGATTTGGCCAATGAGAAACTTGACATCTTAGAGCAATTTTGATGGATGGGTATGCATTTGGTGCTGTAACGTAGGCATGGGGATAAACAGGATGATATTGCAGTCATGCTAGACATGAACACCTGTGACAGGAGTTTTTGAAGGGATAAGAATTAGGCCAAGTAGGGGATATACTGTAGGGGCTAAATGGAATGAAAGGTTTGGGACAGGGAGATGAGCAGCTGCACCGCCCCTCCTTTGTGACCACTGTGCTGGGGACAATGAGATCCTCTAACTCCATTGAAAACATGGGACTTGGGTGACTCTCTCTGAGCCTTTTATTTTAACACTGTAACCCTTTTGCACATTTTTCAGAGAAGAAACTAATAAGGTCTGTTTAATGATGGAATCATCTTGAATAATTTAAATAATCCATCAAAATGTTGATAATATAAAGCATGCATAAGAAATAATTTCTCCTTCTCTCTTTCTCTTTAACCTCATGCTCATGGGATCTCCATATCTGTGTGGCCTGTTATATGATTTGCCCTCTTCCTGCCCATACATGTGATGAGCAGCTGACAGAAAAGGTAACTGTTGTACATGTTTTGCTAAATTTAAGATTCATATATTTTCTTCCTATAGCTGATATGTAAAGAAAACTTTTTTAAATCTAGGGTTTGTTACTGACCCATAAAGGGGAAATAACTGTGTGTGTGTGTGTGTGTGTGTGTGTGTGTGTGTGTGTACACACATACATATACAGTACACAGAGAAAGACATAGCTTTTCTTGAGTGTTCCTTCTTCCTTCTCCCCAGATTGAATAGGAAGCTATGTTGCAGGTGACACTATTTTTGGCATTATCACTCTTTTCCAGGCAGATTAAAATAAACAATGGTTTGGGCCTAATGAGGATCTATTCGTGTTATAAATCTGAGTGGGATTTATAGCAGCCTTCTCTAAACTACAGCCTTTGGCAGTTTGAAATGTTCCACAAATGACTCTGATATGCTGTCCCTTCTGCCCAACCAAGAACCACCCAGCTAAACCAAAGGTTCTCCACACCGGCTGCACATTGGAATTGCCTGGGGACTTAGGAAAGCATATACTGGGTGCCCAAGTCTGGCCCCAGGCTGATTCAATCAGAATCTCCAAGGATAGGCTGGTCTGAAGGAACCATAATGCCTCCTTACTTCTGTTTCACATTTTATTATTTACAAAGCTCTTTCTTGTAATGATATTTGATTTCCAAAACAAGCCTCTGAGATAGATGGAGACAGATACTATTATCATCCCATTCAGTGCATGAAGAAATTGATGCTCAGAGATGTTAAACAACTTGCTCAAGCTGGTATGGCTTGTAACATGAGGGTATGGCTTATAACATAAGGGATGGAATTTGAATTAGAACCAGGTTTTCTAACTCTTAGCTTTGTGAGCTTTGTTTTACAAGGCATTGCTGACTAAAGGGCTACGGAAATGAAATAATAGGAAACATATATTGGAGGTTTTATTTTAATCTATTGTCTGTATATGTAACTATGAAGCTGAGAGGATAAAAAAGTAAAAACAGACAAATTAATTGATTGTATTTATAGGATGTAAGCAAATCATCTAGTATAGATCTGTGGGCATTGAAGCCACATTTCATTTGAAGCCAAGGATCATTTCACCTCCAGCTTCTGGGCAGAAGAACAGTGAATGCTTTATCCACTGTGCATGTAAACAAGAGTCAAATAATCTTGCCTATTTCAGGTTCAGAAGTACCTACTTCTCTTACCTGTTACACATGGGTTTTCTTGCATTGATTGGAAATCTAGATCATTGCTAAAGATTTCTGCATCTTGATGTGTCTTTCTGTAGGAGGAAGAAATCGTTGACTGGTGGAGTAAATTTTATGCTTCCCTGGGGGAACATGAAAAATGTGGACCATATATTCAGAAAGGCTATTCTAAACTCAAGGTACCTGGGCCTGTGCTGCTGTCGGTGGGGGGGAGCAACATTCACTGAAGCGATGCTAAGTAGAAGTCTAAAAGGCCCAATGGTGGGTGCTGATGGGGAGGACCAGGAGTGCCTCTGGCCTCCTGTTGAGCCCTCTTGCAATAAGTTTTGGCTTTTCCAGGGGCTTGACGACAGCTTTTGATTTATGGTTACATGACTGCCACTTTGGAGCTTGGGGATATCTGGCAGAGGGTTAGGAATGGGTTGGTACCACACTAATTAGGCCAACGATTGTCCATTTTGACCCAGGGAGACCTACAAGTCATGGTACTGTTGCAGAAAAGCATGAAACATCAACATGCTTCATTCTGTCCTCCAAATGGACATCAGTGTCACTAGCTTAAAAGTTGATTCTGTTACATGTATGCAGCATATAGTCACAACCATGGGCACGTGTGTCTAGGAGGAAGACAAACTATTGAGCTAGGCAGGTCTGACTATTTATGATCTTTTTGTTAATGTTTTGGGTTTTCCAGTTCTTCATTCCGTTTTTCAGACTGTCATGCACTCAAGGAGAAGCAAATGCTAAACTTTTCAGAACAGTGCATAGGAGAAGAAAAGCTTTACAATGAGAAGTATCTAGCCATAAGAATGATTTTCCCCATCAAAGTGGAAAAACCCACATCCTTTCATGTTATTGTCATAACATCTCAATGCAGCTTAAGAAACACCAGCATCAGACTGATCTGATGGATCAATCCCACAGTCCATCCTCCCTCTCTCTCTCTTTCTTTCCCTCTTTTCCCTCTTTCTTCCCTTCTTTTCATCATTTCTTCTCGTCCTCCTCCTCTTCTAGTTTTTTATGGAAGTACAATTTACATACATAACGTAATCCATTCACTGAGTCTTAATAAGTGAACACACCTATGTAAACTACCACCAAGACAAGGCAGAGAACATTTCTATCACAACGGAAAAATCCTTTACATCCCTTTCTAGTCAGATCCCCACAATCTTCAATCCTTCCCGAAGACAACTTATCTGAGTTTATCACCATTGACAGGTTTTGCCTGTTTTTATACTTCATATAAATGGACTCACACAGTGTGCATTTTGTGTATGTCTGCCTTCTTTAGCCCAACACAGTAGTTTTAATGTAGCATGTCATATGTACAATAATCTGTCCCTTTTTAGCCATTGTATGGATATGCCACAATTTGTTTATCCATTTTCCTGATGATGAAGCTGCAATGGGTATGCTTGTACCACAGGTGGACATGTTTTTATTTCTTTTAGATAATTACCTAGGAATACAATTTCTGCCTCGTAGCATAGGTGGCTATTTAACTCCATAAGAAACTGCCAGACATTTTTCCAAAGTGGCTGTGTCTTTCTACATTCCCACCAGCAAAGTAAGCGTTCCAGTTGTTCCACCCACATCATCATGCCCGTTTAGTGTTGTCAGTCTTTTTTATTTTTAGACTCCACCTGTATTTTAATGAGAAATTAAGAATCTGTTGATGGTTTTCAGATATATGATTGTGAACTAGAGGATGTAACAGAATTTGAGGGCCTGACAGACTTCTCAGACACTTTCAAGCTGTATCGTGGCAAATCAGATGAGAATGAGGACCCTTCTGTGGTAGGAGAGTTTAAGGTGAGTAAAATGTGTGTTTGTCCTGTTTAACATCCACCTTTATGGACCTAGGATAAAGGACAACAAACCTGTAGGGCAGGATCATGTCCTCTGACATCTGAAAGATGCTAGAAGGTGCTAATAAGGAAAAGGGTAATGGCTGTGGTCAGAGGCAGAACACTCAGAGCCATTCTCAGTATCTTTCTCCCTGCTCATGCCAACCTATAGAATCACCCTCTCCAAGTTCTAGTCCCCGCTCTCCCCTTGCCCACTACTCCCTCCCAGGCTTTCAGCAAGACCATTGTGGCAACTTCCCAGCTGACTATCCTTGTCACCTTTCTCATCCCACTCTAGTTTATTCTCCATGCAGCCACATCTGGTCACGTTTCTTGACTGCTTAACGATAGCCTTTGGGTTTCCACCAGATCAAGTCTCAACTCTGTCCTAAGGCGGAGCCAGTGTTTCCTGAGCTACGAAGCTACTTGTCTCCCCTGCCGCCATGCCCTCCTGCTCAGGAGGCCCTCTCCCAAGCCTCAAACACACTTTGTTCTCTCACAACTGGAGCTTTGGGACAGGCTCTTCTTCCTACCCTGGATGGCTTTCTTTCCCCGCTTTGTGGTCTGACAATGTCCTACTCATTCTTTTAAGCCAGCTCAAGTGTCACATTCTTTGTGAAGTGTTCCCTGATTGCTTGTGGCAGAATGACTCACTCCTATTCCAGGCTCCCACAGGTCTGGGTTTCTGCCCCTGTTAAAGCACCTTTCACATTGTAAGTATCTGCTTTCATGACTGCCCCTCCCTCCAACTACAGTTGGCAAATCCATGGCAGATGCGCTGCTACTTCCTAATCCTTTCCAATAGCTATTGATCAGAGCATTATACCCTACATGTGGCCTCAAAACCCTTCTCATTACAGCTTGCCACCAAGCAACCAAAGATGGCATGAGAGTCAAACCTGTTTAACATCCTTGTGCCACATTGGGTTCCTTGAGTTCATTTTAGGGTCCCCCAATACCTGGCACATGGCAGGTGCTCATTTCATGCTGCTTTACTGAATGAATGTAGCTGGAACTAAGACCCATGTGTTCTGAATCCAGCTTAAGTATTGTCTCTTAAGCTGGTTTTGAGATTAAATATAGGCCTTTCATGGTGGCCTGATGGCTCATTCATTCAAAATACATGAATTATGCCCCTGCTACACACCCAGCCCTGTGTTAGGTCCCAGAGATCGAGTATGAACAAGTCATAATTCCCACCCTCAGGAGGCTCACAGCCTAGTGAAGAATACGGACCATAGACAATTACAATTACGTAGACAACACAGAGGTCAGAGAGGGGTGAGTGCAGAGTTAGATGAGAGTATGCAAGGGACATACCCAACCCAGGGGCTGTCAGGGAGGTTTCCTGGAAGAGGTGACACCTTTCAGTTGCAATCTGAGGGATGAACAAGAGTTTGCCTGGCAGTGGGAGGTGGTTTCCGGGGGGGTGGGGGTGGTGGTGACACAAGCAAAGGAAAATCACCTTAGTACTTTGGGCTTAAAAAATAATCATTTTATTCCTATCTTCCAAATATGTACAGGATTTCACTCCTCACCACCTCCTTTGTCATTATAATGGTTCAAGCCACCTCCATCTCTTGCCTAGATCTTTGTCTGGTCTACCTGCTTCTGCCTGGCCCTTTCTTCTCCCCTGGAAGCTAGTACATACTTGATCATCGGTTCACTTTCCCTACTGGAAATATGCAAAGTGCAGTGCATATTGTTTCTTTCACAAAAGGCAGCCCTTCATCACCAATCGCACAACTTCGGTGGCTGTCCCAGAAGGGTCCTGGGGAGGAGGGCGCTGCCCAGGAGACCCTCTGCCCAGGTCCCCCAGGGCCCTGTCAGTACATCTATGTGTCTCTCTCTTAGGGCTCCTTTAGAATCTACCCCCTGTCGGATGACCCCAGCGTGCCGGCCCCTCCCAGGCAGTTTCGGGAATTACCTGACAGCGTCCCACAGGAATGCACGGTTAGGATTTACATTGTTCGAGGCTTAGAGCTCCAGCCCCAGGACAACAATGGCTTGGTAAGAGTTTGGGTGTGGGGCCTTCTCTTGTAGCAAGATAATTACAGTCATCAACCACAATAATTGTCATGTTCTTTCTTTGGGGGCTTCTGTTATCTCACTAGGGGAAAGATACTCTATCAAAACAATGTATTCAGGAGAGAATTGTCCCAACAGGCATTTATCTAAGAGCTTGAAGTCTCCTCTGGTTCATCCTTCTCATTTTACAGATGTGACCTCGGAGGAGACTTGCTCTGTCACCACTCCCTGCCATAGCCTCTTCCCCCCACACTGCTTCTCTAAAGGCGTGTGCTGGCTGTGGGCTGCCAAACGGGAAGAAACATTGCTCAGACCTTGTCTGAGGCTCGCGGGGTCACAGCTGCCACCTTTTCACCAGTTTGAGAGTCGGGGTGGAGGCACACCTGTGTCTGTCCCAGAAACTGACTTAAACTTGCACCCCATGGTGACATAACATGCCATCTGTTTCATCCTCACAGTGTGACCCTTACATAAAAATAACACTGGGCAGAAAAGTAATTGAAGATCGAGACCACTATGTCCCCAACACACTCAACCCGGTTTTTGGCAGGTAAGGCGCACTTCTAGACGTTTTCCTGTCATTCATTTCTTCACAGCATACGTGTGAAGCATGTGATATATGCCAAGCTCTGCTCTAAGCCCTGAAACTGTGACTCTGAATTTGACAAATATTCTAGTCAGCGGGGCAGGTGATCGATATGAACATGCGCAAATAGTTTCATGGAAGTGAAAAGTGCCGTGAAGAACATAAAACCATGGGGCTGGCTGAGTGGCTCAGTTGGTTAAGAGCTCGCTCAAGAGTTTGAGCTCTGAGCAACAGTGGTTCAAGTCCAG